AAGCAGATAGACACCGTAGAGATCACACATTTCAAGTAGGTGATCTGGTTCTAGTGCGCCTTCAGCCCTATAGACAATTATCAGTCGCAAGGAGAGCAAACCACAAGCTTGCTAAGAGGTATTTTGGCCCCTTTCCAATTCAGAAAGTCATTGGCTCTGTTGCTTATCAGTTGAAGTTACCTGAAGGTAGTCAAATCCATCCTACTTTCCACATTTCAAGCTTGAAACCTTTTCATGGTTCATCAACTCTTAGTGCCTCACCTCTGCCTTTTGAGAGCGTGGAGAACAAACCTGTCCAAGTTCCCATTGCAGTATTGAGTTCTCGAACAGTACCCATCAGAGGCAGAAATCAGCAGCAAGTCTTGGTCCAGTGGTCTCAAACAGTTCCTGAAGATGCATCATGGGAATCCGTGAGAGAGCTTCAAAAAGTTTACCCTTCCCTACACCTTGAGGACAAGGTTACTTTTGAAGATGGGGCTGTTGTTACATGTGAAGATAGCAGGCCTATAAGGAAGAGAAAGGAACCTACATGGACTAAAGACTATGTCGTATAGAGTTAGTGAAAGGTCCATTTAATAGTTGATTCTATTGTATACTGTTAGTTAGCATAACCTGATGTATAGTGTTTCATTCAAGTGGGTATTGACCACTATATAATACAATGATTGTACACACAATGGCCATCATGAATAAAGAATTGTTTTCTGTTTCCTGTTAATTCTCACCTCTCTGGTCAGATACAATTTCGCGTATTGTATCACACCACCACAAGAGTTGGTTACTCCGTTTGGTTCTCTTTCCTCAATCCTATCAATACAAGGACACAATCAATCATCTAACTCATTAATTGCTCAAAATGCTAGAACATCCATAAGCCCAAGCATGAATTTTCCCATATATTGAACAATAACTAAATGACTTTCTAAACTCATTTCTACCATTTATTTATCATCTTCAACAACTTTTACAAAGGGCTTAAGCTTAAATCAAACTCAAACTCATCTCACTCACAAAGACATTATTCATCATCTTCCTCCATCATATAAACTCCATGAAAACAAAGTTTAAGGAGTGAAAACTTACCACAAATGATTGCACAACCATGGAATGAGTGCTCCTCAAGCTCCCATGGAGGTAAAAGCTACCAAACCCCTCAACTTTTCATATGGGTCGAAATTTTGGAGGGTGAAATCTCTCTCCACAAAGCCTCCCACTCAAAACCAAACTTGGATTATGAAAAAGGAGAAGATTCTAAGTAGTTTAGGCTTTTGAATCACTCAAATAGGTTGAGATTTGGTGGAGCTAGGGTTTCTCCTCCACATTGTCTTCTCCCTTCACTCCTTTTCTGGTTCTTGCTCGACGGAGGGGGGGGGGATGAAGTGGGTTCTTTGCTTTTTAGTCACTTAACATAAGTTAAGTGAAATCAAGCGGGTATTAGCTAATCTATCTATTCAACTCCATTCAGCACCAAACTTTTATCCAAAGGTCTGGAATATTTTTCTAGGAATATTTCCACTTCCATTTTTATATTTTGGGTACTTTTGCCTACATCCATTTATACTCCTAAATTTTCACTGAGTACACTTTTTACCCCAAAAGTGACCTCAATTCACTTAATTAGGCCATATACTTAATTTTACTCACTAATACATGTTAATTTACTTAATTACATGTAATTTACTATTTAATTAGGTTAGGGATATTATATTTTCCTCAATCATAGCTCAAAAATTTCTAAACCCAAGAAAAAATTTAATCACTTCTCATCAACAAAATTTCATCTATATAGAAAGCTTCATATTTCATTGCCCAAAAAAAAAAAAAACTATATTATCATTTACTGATACTTTTGTATTTCATAAAAAAAATTTTACAAAGCCAATATATACAAAAGATGTTATTTGCACAATAATCATGAAACAAATTTTAGGATTTTCAAAAAATCGAAAACCGATCCAATCCAAATCGAAAAAAATTGGATTGAATCAGATCAAATTTGAAAAAAAATCCAAACCGAATGGATGATTATATAATCAAACCGAAGGAATTGGATTGAATAATTTTTGCTTCTAAAACCGATTCAATCCAGACCGCGAATACCCTAGTATCATATGCCAAAAAATTGTATTGTGATTGTCAAATACCAACCTACTTTGTTAATTACACATTACCCTCTTACCTAATGCCCCTCTGCCCCAAGAAAATGGGTGAAATAATTAAGAAATTATGGGAATTTTTCATCCATAAGAGAAGTGATCTTATCAAGATCATTTTCTTCTATAAATTGCACGCTCCCTAACATATTTAATATCCATCTCTGTTTCCCTTTTTATCAAGATTTCAAGCCTCCTACATCTCCCACTCATTCACAGGCCAAGAGTTTCCGTTGTTTTAGACCCTCAAGAGAAGTACCATCTATGATCTTTTCATACGAAAGTCTTCAACTTACCTGACCATAAAGTCCTAGATTGAAAACAAGATCAATGATTCAATGTCACTAGTTTGTCTAATTTAAATTCTGTTATGAGTACCCTTGGTAGATATTTATAATTGATGGATATACTGTACGGGTGATTTGCATATTAGTAATGCTGGGATTAAATATAACAGTTTTGAGGTAAATAAATAAGATACTATCCATGCATCCATTTATGCGGTTTGAACTGCAGCTTACATTATCATACTCTGTCCCTTTTTTCCATATAACACAACAGCATAGAGAGATTATTTAAGAATATATATTATGAAAATACCAACGGGTAGTTCAGCCATTTAGCTTGCTTTAGTCCGCAAAACTACATTTTATCGAGTTACAAGAATGGAATATTTGCATCATCCTAATAGAACAACATTTCATGAGCAAAGCCCTCAATATACCATAATGGTTATATGTTGATGTCCTCATATTAGCATTGTGTAGACTTATAACATCTACCAGACAAAAGACACAAGACTTCAGCAAATTTACTTGCACGACTTTCGAAATGTCACTTGCATCATACATGATAAATTATTTCATTTACAAACCAACCTAACAAAAAGAACAAATCTTAGAGAATAACGATCGCCCATTGTTCATTGACAACTTTGAATTTGTTGTATTCAAGAGTTTTAAAACTTCCTTGGAGGCTACTGTTTGAGCTGTCACCTTATCAGCAGCCTTAGCAGTATGCTTGTAAGCATTGGCGGAGCCACAACAAAAGTTTAGCTAGTGCCAATTTTTTTTTTAATACATAATGTTGTTCAGTTTTGAAAACCAAACCACCGCTTATAATCCACTTAACCCCAACTTGAACTCCAAAAGTAAAAAGTGAACAATTTTAACACGAAATGTTGAGATATATAGTCTCACATTGGTTGTATGTGCAACTAATGTGGAGTTTATAAGGTCTTGGACACTCCCACCCTTTGAGCTAGCTTTTGGGGTGGTGACCTCAAGGTTCTTTACATGGTATCAGAGCCTCGCCGCCCCCCACTTTCTCTTGTGGCGTTTCTTAGCACAGGTAGGCTGGGTCTGTTGCATTGTCCACTCTTCAAGCCCAATGGGCTCTCGTGTGAGGGGGCGTGTTGAGATATATAGTCTCACATTGGTTGTATGTGCAACTAATGTGGAGTTTATAAGGTCTTGGACACTCCCACCCTTTGAGCTAGCTTTTGGGGTGGTGACCTCAAGGTTCTTTACACGAAAATCCCAAATATGAGTAGAAAAGCAAAAAAAAGGAAACAAATTGATTCAGCAAAAGAGAGAGGTACCCATTTGAGGATATTGCCATGTTCCTGCGCAACGGTGTTGTACAACTTTAGTTTCTGCATCTATTTCTTCATCTCTTTATTCTAGCGATTCTTTTTTCTGTGCTCGCTGACGTCGATTGAGGGATAGAGAGGGGTTATAAGAGGATGAGGAGGGAGGGTTGGTTGGGGTTTGGGTTCGAGAATGTATCGAGGTTGAGAAAGCCAGTGCCAGAAAATTTCTCTAGCTTAACCCCTACCTGGATTACAATGGAAAGTTCTTCAGTTTTGGAAACCAAGACAGTGCCAGGGCACTGGCTGGCATCAACGTGGCTCCGCCACTGCTTGTAAGTGATCCCATTAGTTTCCACCTCGACAGTAACTGAAATTATATGGGACACGAGGATTTCTTTCGTTTTATAATCTCCTCTTTGGCATAATTCTTTTAACTCCCTCACAGGATATTATTACCTTATTGTGTTGGGGGTAACAAGGGATTCCAATTGAGGTCTTATACTTTGGAAAACAACCTCATGCTTGTACCCAGAATCAATATAAATTGCTCCTACTATGGATTCCATAACATCTTCAACTACCTGTCAGAAATAGAAATACATCTAATGAAAAAGCAATAAAAAATATGCCAAGTATGTGATGGGCCTTTAATAAAATATCTAAGCTCATTAAATAGGAATTAGTATAAACAGTTGTTTAGGGTGGAGTTTCTGGAAGCATGAATTCAGAATTGGTTAGTGAGGAAATTGGGGATCTCTAGAGAACTCTTGAGCCTACATATGTTGGTTCTAAGGGGGAGTTGAGGTCTTTGGGCTATTTGTTTAGCATTTTATCTTAGTACCAGTGTATGTAAAAAGAGGTTATGCCTCAATTGTTAATGAAATCAGTATTATATTTTTCTGGGTTCCATCAGTATGTTTCCTTCCATTGTAACCTCTGAAGGCCAACAATGTTTGCATCTAACTATAATAATGCAGAGATTGATAAATACAGCATTACTATAAATAAGCATAATTTGGGAGAAGTCATGCACTGAATAACATAGGCTGACCTCGGAAAAATAAGTTTCAAGCTCCCATCCAAAAGTAGAATCCAAAGTTAACTTCTCAACACCTTTGACTGTAGTTGAAATTTTCCCTTTTACTTCTGAGTCACATAGAATGTGCTCATGCAACTTAGCTTTAATATCTGACAACGCATAGCACTCGTTATTTACAGAAAGAGACCTCATATCTGTCAAAAGTTCTGATGTCAATTTGTCAGGATATTCTCTGTAAAAATGCAGTTTGATGATGTAGTCCAAAACTGCATCGCCAAAAGGTTAATTACAAAAGGCAAGTAACAAGAATGAATACTGGTTCATTATTCAACATCATAAATATGATAACCTACTTATAAGTTCCATCAGGACTTCCAGAAAGATAGGCTACCAACTAATTTTAGGCTGTCCCTCAATGTTCTCTTGGTCTATATTTTCAACCATGCAGTCAAAATTAAAAAATGAAACAACCAAATTGTATGCAGGCATAGACTTCATTGTTAATAAGTATATGTACCTGGTAATTATAACATGTTGGAATTTCTGGCAGCTTATAAGAACCATCGGTCAGAGCTTCTACTAAGAGGGTAGGGTCTTTGAATGAGTAGTTTAATAGGGATTCTAAAAGGTTGACTTTTACAAGCTTCTCCGGGGCAAAGCTAAGGTGGCTCTCATATGGTATAATAATAGTGTCAACCTTGATGCCAATCCAATTCATAAAGGATATAGCAGCTTCTTCATCTCCAATGCTAAGGAAGGCACCGATTACTGCCTCAACATCATCAGCGAGAACCTTGTATTTCATTTCTCTTGTTCCACTAACATATACTCTTGTTTTACTAGAAACCAACTCTTATTTTAGCGACAGACTCTTTTGACTTATCACCAGGTATAACCCACTGTTTGGGATCAAAAGCTCCTTTTCGTATGAAACCCTGCAACAACAACAACAAAAAAGTCCATTCGAGCAAAAATTTAAAACCACTACCGGAAAATAGAACCAACAATTATTGCACTGTGACAATTTACGATTCCATACAGCTAGTAATTCAGGTAATTTTGACAATATGAACATAGCATTGAACAGTTGCCAAACTAAGCAATATGATCCTCTACTCTTGCCTTACACTTCAGAATTTGTAGCTTGGCACAAGTGAAAATATGTTAAGGCACATTTTTTAAGGGTAAAGTAGATGATTTCTATTGATATAGGCTGAAATAAATGAATATACATGGATAAAGAAAGTGAATATAACTTTTTAAACTAGAAAAGATATTAGTATTCAGCACTTGATGCACAAAAGCTTGGTTGTACAAGACAATAAAATAAGGCAGAAGTATTGCACTCAGTCAATTCCTAACAGAAGCAACTTACGAAAATAAAATTATTTATCACGTTTTGTTAATAGATCATAACATGTATCTTTCATTTTACACTGCTATTTCAAAATATATAGTGCACCATCCATGTTAAATAAACTATTTGTATACATAGAACACTGATAAAGAATCCGGATAAATTTGATTTCCAGAACAAAATTGGGCTTTAGTATTGAAATTAAACACTAAGTTACCAAACACATAAAATAAAACAAGAAATAAACAAAATATTAAGAAAAATTAAAAATGAATACCGGAAGTCTGCGGCTACACCCATACTCAAACAAGGCAACATTTGAAATCATCTTCTTCCTTTCTTCGGTAAGAGTATCCTCACGATAATTTTGATTGGTCTTGAAAAGTTGTTGACTAGCAGAGTATTTTAGAAAAGAATCACCAAGTGTTTCTAAGGAACTATAATCGTTGACCTCTTGACATTCCTTTGCAATGAACAATTCAGATACGTATAAGAAAAGAGTTGAAACCAAAAAAAATTAAATAATAACTTTTAAATTTTATTATCAACTATTCTTACACTGAAGAAGTCACAAACTGATTGAAGAAAAATAGAGTTTGATACAATTTCCCAGAAGAACAAGAACTGATACAGATCCAGAACAATCGAAAATATAAAATGTAAAATGAAGTGTTTCAGAACACATTACTAACTATAGATAGTTATAAGAATCATTCAGAAGCAGTAAAAAGTAACTAAACCAGAGTTACAACTAACTATGATTAAATACAATAACAATATACTTATTAATTATCAAGTGATAAAGCGTGAAAAGAGGATTGCAGACTGCAGTAACAACTAAAAGGGTGGAAGCCTGCAATAAGAATTATGTCAAGCCGAAAATAAATATAGAGAACCAATCTACTTAAAAATTTAAAATAACATTTTCATTTAACTTATTTAATATAGTAACGTTAGTGTGTGTCAAAACACTACTCTATATAATATACAGATTTTTTAACAATAGCACTAACTAATATAATATTAATAGAAGTGATATTCTTATAATCTTTAATACATTTGATAACAAATCCATATAAATACTACTATAAAAAAACAGAACAGCTCACTTGGTATATAAAATTACGTGTTCCCTGTCTTCAAATTTCTACCATGCATAAATCTACTTTAACATTAACAATAGTGATCTGATCAATCTACTCACTGTTTTGGTCAAGGTTGGGATTGGAGTTTTTTGTTTTTGTTTTTGTTTTTGTTTTTGTTTTTTTTTTATCTTGCTTGTCCAAAGTACCCTGCTTCCTATCTTATGCTAATCAGTAATCACTTTTTCTTCTTTTTAAAAATATATAGGAAAGTACATATTGCAATAAAAAGGTCTGTGGAAATAACTGAATTTTGGGTTGTTCAATCAAGTAAGGGAAAGTCAATTGAATTCATAACTGTCTCAATGTTTTTTTTTTAATTGTCTAAATATTCAAAAATTAAGAGAACTGTAACCATGAAAATGGCCCCCTCTTTAGTTCGATTATATGAACAAATGCCCGAACCAAAGTATGTTATTGCTATGGGAGCCTTTCTTTGTCTTTTGGAAGTTGAGGCTTCAAACTTGGGTTAGACATTATGTAATGATAAGCAAAAATATATATTTTAAACAAATCATGGAAAAACAATATGAATTATCAGCAATATGTAATTATAAGCTTTTACCAGGGAAAAAGTAGCATACCTTGCAGATTGGAATATTACTTTGTATACTATGATCCAAGAGCATCTTTTTAAAGTTGAACGCAACGAGCAAGGACTCAAGCCGATGCATGATTGATGTAATAAATGAAAATGAGTATATGGTACTGATTGATATTGGGGACATTATTATAGAGCAAAGTTCTGGGGGCAATAGAACAGAGTACGTGCTTGGTCCTAAAGTTGCAAAGCATGAGAAATAAAATTTCAATCAGCTTACATTATAATTTATATGGACAATGAACTCAGTCAAATGGCATTAAAGTAGTTTCAATACTGGAGATGTGCAAGTTTTATGACTGCTTAAACTACTTGTTTTGAAACCCCTCATTACTATCAATGTAAATTATAATTTCATTCGTAAACATAAAAAAACCACAATGAAAAGCCTTAACATGTGCAGCTCCTTTTTGTATACTTGTCATCCAAGGAGAAATACACATTAAAACACAAGTAACCCAAATCGTCCAATCAGTCATTCAATCAGTTTATTTCATGGTCAGAAACAGCCCAAGAAAATGATGCACTTGAAATTCCTTAACGACCAAAAGCACACTGAGGCAACATTGTTTCAATTTAAAACTGGGAACACATATGATTACCAAAAATTCCAAGTTTTGAATATGTTGAACTAAACATTCTAAGCTTTCCAACGAGATATCATTTGTACATTCCAAGTTCATAGATATTTCATTGGCTGTCCAAGAGCTCACTATATCTCATTCTTCGTAAAACATATGGGACAGCTTATACATTCTCATACATGAGTACAGTTTCATGGTTGCAACTTTAATGAATTTAAATACACATCACATACATCAAATGTACTCATGGGCTAAATGAATTCATCTATTTGTACATGTTGGACAAGTGGCCTCAAACTCAAGAGGGGGGTGAATTGAGTTTTAAAAATATTTTCGTAAAGTGCCTCACTTCCTTTCTTGAAATCGATTTTCTTAGAATAATATAATTTGACACAAGCAAAGTTTAGAGAATAGAAATTAACACAAGCAAATGGTATGTAAAGAGAAGAGATAAAAGGTTCAAGTGATCAAATAATGCTAATATAAAGAGATGAAGAGTTAGAGAGATTGCAAACACTATATATCTTGGTTCGGTCACCACCACCGTGACCTACGTCCAGATTGAAATCGCCCGTTCAACTTTCCACTAAATTATCAAGCTTCAAGGGTGCTTGACAAACCACTACAACCTTCAAGAATATCGATTCTTGAAACCTTTACACTTCCACTCACTTACTTAGGTTATGAGCAACCTCTTTCTCTAGGGTCTCACTACCCTTAACACAAATGAACAGATTGAGAGTATTTAGAAAGGGATATGTACTCTTGAAGTACAGATTATACAAGTTGAAGCTTATAGGTATTGATCAATGACACAAGATTAGAGCTCAAAGGTGATTTATGATCAAGATGATATAAAGTAAGCAAATGATATGAAATAGAGCAAGAATAATGATTAGAAAAAAGTGTCCCATCAATGTGAATAGTGACCACTATTTATAGAGGCCTCCCATGACCCTTTGAACACACATTTTCGCAAAACTAGCCGTTTATAGTCGTTATACTGCTTACTGTCCAGTAAGTATTCGAATACTATTCATGAGGTATTCGAATACTTCAACTGGTATTCGAATACTTTTCTCACAGTATTCGAATACTTTGTTCTCAGCATGAGTATTCGAATACAGACAATGAAGTATTCGAATACTTTCTTTAATTATGCAGTTTTATGAGTTGTAAAGTATTCCTTTTGGTCTCTAATCACTTTCAATGTATTTCCTTGACTTGTACAAGATGTTTTGAAGTTATTAAACATGTCAAGGATATTTTTTATAACAATTAAGGCTTTCAAGTGATAGATGACATGAATATTGCATGCATAGAGTTAATTACCCTTTGAGCTCTTTTATGCATCATTAATCAATTACCTTTACATTTAGATCTAAGCTCTCAAGAGCATGAATCAATGATGATCTTGTGTGTTGACTGATTTGCTCTTGTTGACTTGTTTGAATTGCTTCCTTGGGCTTTTGATTGTTGCGAGTTGTATTATCCTTAACATCGCTTCTATGCTTGTTTGTTATCATCAAAACTCTTGTATGATTGAATTCTTCATATTAAGCGCATTGGTTTCACAATCTCCCCCTTTTTGATGATGACAAACTTAAATTGAGAAGAGGAGTTAGTGCAATATGTATTTTGATAAAATGATACTAGGACTCCCCCTTAATATGTGGATGGTGATAAAAAGCGGAGTTCTAGATCTATGTTTACCTTTGGTAATTGTGCTCCTCTATTTACCTTAGTTTATATAACTTTCTCAATTTTGCAATATCTTCTCCCCCTTTGGCATCATCAAAAACAACAGAATAATGGAATGCATAATAAGCAGGAAATGCAGATTAGCATACGATTGATATAATATCAGAGTTATCGAAAAGATAAGTATCTAGCCATATAAAGCAAATAAGAACCGAAAAGTGATTAACAGTCAGCATCAAAGGTAAGTAACATCAAAAAGAACAGTCAGCAGCAGAATGACTGTGTCAGATCTCTGGTGAACCAGGAGGAGAGATGCCTGCAGTGTCGTCATCCTCATTAAGCATACCAAGACGACGCTCGATGCGGGTAAGACGGTTGCCTATGATTTCATCCATATCCTCCAGATGGTCCAGCACATCGTCGAGAGTGGCAGGACGTCGACGTCGGCGTCGAGTGACTGGAGGAAGAGAGGCATCGGCAGTAGCGGCTGCATCGGCAGGAGCAGCATCAGGAGCATCATCATGAATAGGGGCATCCTCATCCATAGGATCAGCAGCAGGAGCAACAGAGGAGTAGACCCACTCGCCTGCTACCTTGCGAAGGCCACATTTTTTCAGCTGGGTGCCGGTAATTTTATGATTGTTCTTCAATGGGGTCTTTGCCTCCCTAATCATGGGAACCTGACTGTGCTCCATGATGGCCTGAATCAGCATAGGAAAGGGAAGAGGAGAATTCTCATGATGATGAGCGGCGAGCATGATGCGGCATATGGTGTCTGGCCAGTAGATTGTTGTCTTGTTAAGGATGGCCCACATAAAGAATAAGTCAGTGTTGAGGACCACAGCATGATTGCCTCCTCTAGGTGAGATGACATGAGTGATGATATAGTGAAGGATCCTGTGAGGCATTGTCAGACATACAGCAAAGAATTTGGTCATGCCAAATTTATATGTGCCTTCTCTAACAACGGTTTCAATGAATGCTTATCTTTCATATTCTTCATAGCTACGGTAATCAGAGCCATCAAACTCTAGATCGCCAGTCCGAATATAGCCAATGAGGGTGGTCCAATCCTGTGGATAGATCTTGATAGTGACATCCTTGATCTTGGATTGCAGCACACGGTTGTTGTAGGTTAAATTTTGATAGAATGCTCGAACCATAGGTGCTACATATGGGCGACTGAGCTCAGCAAAGTCCAGCAGATGGACTCCCTCCAGGATGACAGTGACCTCAAATCCTTCCTCCACAAAGAAAGCCGAGTCAAGATATTTTGGCTCAATGATCGGTCGGCGAAGATAGCTAGTGGCAAACTTCTTCTGCTGAGAGGGGTTATCAGGAAAGTAGCGGGTAAAGTTGGCGGCCTCGGCAGTTGGAAGGTCAGGGACAGATTTTGAGCGAGTCTGATGCTGAGTGGATGAGCTAGCCA